CAAGGCAATGTGTAATTGAATGGAAACGTCAGCTCTACTCATATCATTTTTGGAAAATTCTACTACTTTAAACGAATTAGCGTGAATACATCTCATATTACTGAATTACTGGTTTTCTCAAAACTCTACTTAAATACGAAAAATGAGTTTATTGCTTTGATTCGGGATGTTTCGCTAGTCTCGAAATCATACTTCTTTCGAATAGCAGTAACTTCTTCCACCGTAATGACATATAAATGTATACCTCTGCGACATTCCCACCATAAGAGTGTGATATAGGTGAAGGCAAAGTTGCTTTGAAATTCAGTTCTTCCACGCGGCCCATGAACATTCGTTGCAGTAACATGACGAGATTGTATACTGCCCCATCAAAAACTGACGAGACCCACAAAAGTGGGGTCGAAACTAAGGTTCAATGAAGTTTAAAATACCTTTTGGGAAGGAAGGCTATATTCAAGGCATCCTAATCGACCAAGGCTGACTAAAGCTCTTATCCAAAATCTAAAGATAATCTCGGTATCTTAGTTAATTCAAGCAGACAAATACATATTTGCTTCGGCAACACTCCTACTATACAAATGTGATACTTTAGGGTACTTTAGAATTCAATTATGCAGTATGACCGATTGGCACTCGCTGTAGTATTACATAGTAGCAACATGTTGAAATTACACGTTAAACTACCCGAGTTTGAGTCCCCTCGTGCATAGTAAATAAATAATCAGTCCAGATGAGTTCGAAATGGTAGACTTGCCTAATCCCGTAGAATGAGATCACCTTTTGGGAGGCAAGGCTGAGTGAAATTCAATGGAAATGTGATGGTGGGAAAACTCAATATCAATCCTTCATCCACTTAGGCGACCTCGGGTGACTAATATTCTCAGTTAAAATCTAATGACAGTCTCAAAATCTTATTTAATTCGAATGAAAATATTCAAAAAATGTGATAATTACATTTCAGGTGATAAGGAACTGATAGTAAATTTTCAGAAAATCACACTTCCATTAAATTTCACGCAACCTTGATCCTAAACAGGTATTTTCATACAGGCAGGAGTAGACTGCAATTTCGAGCCCTTCTCAGCTGGTCTTCTCAGCGCCCCTAGCGGCACTCGAACCCGGGTAGATAAACCTATGCGATGTGGAAACTGTAGTCCACTCCTGTCCGGATGAGAGGACAGTTTGAGGAATAAGACTATGTAAAATTTAATGGAAACCTGAAACGAGTTAGCTCAGGCAGACCTACTTGTAGTCTCGACTGCCTACTTATGAAACTAAAAATGTGTTTTCGGTATTTGTTAATCGGTTTTCCAGAGCCGCATTATTTTCGATTTAGGCATCATATCAGTGGCCTACCTCCAGTCACTTGTCTCCTGCCAGAAAAGCCTGCAAAAAGAGGAATGATTATGCTGAATAGGGCTTTTAGTTGGAAAAATGTGACAATACAAAAGTAACAACAAAACAATCATTTAGTGCCTCGAGTCGACTCGAACGTCCGATCGGCAAGTGCTAATGGGTCGCCTCGTAGATGATTTTGTCGACGCCGTGGAGACTGAATTTGGAATCATTGTCGACAATTTTTCGGTATCGCACAGAATGCGCCGGTTTCCTCTTGGTCCCGTAGCCATCGCGGCTTCGAACCAGGTCGTAGTTGATGGCAGAGACTGTCCAACTGTGCATAGAGGCGGCGAGCAACAGAGTGAGCAGGGAGAGGGCCAGAAAGAAGCCGAAACGCATGGTTTGGTTTTCCTGACGACTTGTCAATTCGACGCGGAAGCAACGTTTAAGTCAACAGTCGACGAGCAGAATGAACGAACATGGCGAGGAGAAGACCAGCAAGTGGACAAAGGGTGCAGTCTTTCTGATTGATCCCCGTGACTGGATGAACCATGTCATGGCGTACACGGAGCGAGGGGCATTGTTGACAGTCGGTACATGCACTCGAGTCCACCGGGACCCAAACAGCCTATAGAAAGAGGCCTCAAAAACATCGACCCTTTGGTTGCACCACGATCACCCCACTCCATTTTGCTAAACGTAAGAGTGAACAATCCGAGGGTGAAATCGAATAATTGATTGTTGTCTGGCCTACCGATTGATTGAGTGATGGTGTCGTAGAAACGGAGAAACGTATGTAGATGTAGATACATCCAGAGGTGGATAGGCAACCTATCAATTGGACGATTAATTATAAATACTTTACCAAAGAGATAAATCGAAAGCGAGTAATGTAGGCACACGATTAACCAACTGAACAGCCAATTATCTAGTCAAGCAGATAGCAATCTAGCCGGATAGAGATCAGGTTCTCAAAAATATAGACATAGAAGGATAGTAAATTAGCTGGAGAGGATAGATTGAAAGTTAATTGAATATTCAATCATTCAGCTACACAGCCATACAAACAGACAACAAATTGTGCTCGTAACTTGGTTGCACTTTGTCCATCCGCTTTCCGGACTGAAGAGTCAGCCATTAAATGAGAAGTCATCGATACTTTGGCTCCTATTTGGCAACACTTTTGTGGGAGTATCCGATTCGTCCTTAAGCTAAGCCAACAGACAACGTCTGTCATGCCAGCGGGGTATTAGATAATTATTAAATTTTCCAGAGTTTTTATTTCTATATTCACATTGACTAGTTTTCATAAAGTAACACTAAATCTTGAATAATAACTGATTTCCCCTTGGGTTGCATAAGGTGATGATAGTCGAATTTTCGCGCAATTATATGATGTGGACTCACTTTTTAATTGAATTTCCCTAGTCCTTGCTTCCCCAAAAGAGTTCTGGGAGAAACTGGAAGGGACTACAGTTTAAAGGGTCTCATTTACAACAACAATAATAACAACAACAACAACAATAATAATATTAATAAGAGCGTTCTGACATCGTTTACACAACTGGGTCGTGTTGTCAGGACAACCTAATCAGATGTACGTTGTCGGTGGTCCTCTGTCATAGTAATAATCAGAGATCCCAGCATTGGAGGGTGGACGACTAAATTGTGAAAACGAGATCAAACCACATCTACACATCGAGGGAGACTACGATCAAAATGGAGTCCACAATACCACTTTTTTGTATCTGGGCTGAAAGCTGATAATGTTGTCGATTGCTAAAGCAAATACAAATTTTCCTCATCGACAATCCAACAAGCGAAAAGCCTAGCCGCCCTTAAGATTCAATCCGCTCTGTGACCAAAGGGAACTTGTGGCAGCCTGGCCTAGTGGTTATCATGTCAAGACTATACGATGAACCACCAAAACTGGAGTTCGAGTCCCGCTGAGACAAGTTCAGCGAGGTCGAACATGCAGTTCACTCCTGCACGGACGTGAGTACTTTTTGAGTAACAAAGTTAAGGGAATGAGGTCTACTCATCAGATTGTGGCAAAATTTAACTGACCTAAAACGAAATAGGGAGAACATTGTTCTTATTCAACATGTACTGACGGTCTCGAAAGCCTACTTTAAATCGAAAAACAACTGGTATTTTTCCATTACCCTCGATTAGTTTACTTATATTCGTATAAAAAAGGTCACGAAGTTATCATCATTTATTGAATAAGAGTTTCACTCACCATAGGTTGTTTAAGATTATTAATAATGGAAAGTTGAATTTGACTACAACCATATGCTCCTGG